TATGATTTAGTTAATAATCTTACTGATTTGTGTGTTTATCACCATATGTTACATTATTATCAACATCTACTTCTGGCCTATTTTGTTCCTATAATCATTTTGTTGCAGACAAATAATGTTTTAATTATTTGTCCCTTTCGATATTAAGAGAAAAGAAACCAGGGAAAATCTTTATTCAGAAGAAAAGAATAAACAGGCATTTGCAACAGACTTTTAGTATATCTTTCATAACTTTTAACCCAGTCTACTCTGAGTAACCTATCAACATGCGTGACTATGATTATCCACAGCAGGGAGAGAGAGGGTTGTTGTGATCAGGGAGGGGCACTGAGGGGACTTCTGGAATTCCAACCTGGGTGATGGGTATATGGCTGTCTATTTTATGATTATTTCATAAAGTGTACATGATACAATAACGTATATAATATGTAATAATATAATAAAGTAAATGTACATGTACATTTAACAACAGTGAATTTAAAAATTCATATATGATATTGTGGGCCCTTGGAAGAAATGTCTCAGAAATAATCATATCCCAAAAACAAAGGGGAAAAAAAAAGTATTTTCCAAAACTCTAAAGATCATTTTACACACCTTTCTATTCCCTTTCTCTCCATGTTAAATGCTTATTATGAGGAGTTAATCTTCTCCTACTAATCTTTCTTATTGAATCCCATATGGCTGATCACCATGCAGAAATACCTTCATGAATCCTGACCACTGGAGTGTTAAAAGTCAAATTGGGGCAAATAAAATTATTAAATAGAGGGTAAATCTTAATTTGCTTTAAAATAAGACATTAAAAATATTATGTGATTATACTGTAGGATGGGCAAGCACAATGCAATTTGCTTAATTACTATGTAAAGTGAGGAGGTTATGTACCTAGTGCAGTAGTTTTCGAACTTAAAATGAGCATAAAATTAACTAATCCAACTGGAATCTACTTAAATGGTAAGGCAGACATTTAAGGTTCTTCATTTTTTTTTTTTCAGAGAACTAAACAGTTGTCATAAAGCCATTTGCTAAATAATTCATCTTTCTGGTATGGTCATTTTAAATGTAATTTCGCCAGCTGCAAAGTATTCCACAATGGGATATATTTCTAGAAAATCTATATTTATTAGAACTATACTATTTAACTATTTAGCATGTTAGTAAATGTTACCCATTGTTAATATTAATGAAAATTACACACAAATGAAAGATAATATGGCACGTGTTATGGAAATCACTGGGTACACCTATGATTAAAAGCAGATATAGCTTACTATAAGTTCACCTTCCAGAAGTGTTTAAATTGTTTCCTGGGCAGATAATATCATATTTCACACTTAGAGTAATGCCATTCATTGCTACAGAGCAATGCCATCTATCATTTTTTTTGTATGATTTGCTTCCTGATCATAGAAGAAGAAATGCTTCATGGTTCAATATTCTAAGTTCTATGATGTTAAAAAGAGAAAAGTGACAAAATAATTTTTCCCGAATTTTCATTGGTAACATGCAGACCAAAGAAATACTGACACTATGCAGAGGCAGAACACCATCAGGAAGGTGGTAAGGATAGTTCTGACTGAGGAAAGGGCTCTTGTGAAAGCTGCTCTTCTCGTGTCTTGAGACTTACGGAAGCCAAGATACAGGAAGCCAAGGGTGCAGGGCACTATTCCAGAGGGCTGGGTCAGAAGGTCAAAAAGCTCCAAGTGCACCAGGGCACAAAAACACAGACTGCTAAATACTCGTCTCAATGCCGGCCAAAAGCAATATTAAAGGTCTTTATCCCTTCCCGCTGAGTGTCAGATCAAGACTGAAGCTTAAAAGTGGTGAGTGATTGAAACCACTAGTCAAAAATATGTATTCCAATCATAGCATTTTCAGTTTAACAGCTGCGTATGCATTGTTAGTAATACTGCTTAAAAGAAATATTGTACGGACATAAAAGGAAATTTCATTTCAAGGGAACAATATTCCTACATTCTCTATAGATAAACACACGAGGACTGAAAATTCAATTTATATCGTCTTTTTATGAAAGACCCAATCTCTCTGAACTCTTTATTTTATTTCTCTTTTTTCTCTTTCCTATCTTTATTTTTTTTCACGAGCTCTCTTTCTTTTTCATACCACCTTCTCCACTGACACAGAGAGCCAACTCTATTATTCCTAGAATTTTGTATCTGGAAATGATACGAAGGGTATAAGACTAGAGAGAAGCAATAACATGGATGGCCAAAACCAGAAGAAAAGCCAGAAAAAAATTAATAGGATTTTTAAAGAATATGTTGTTGAATTTAAGCTTACATTGAAATTTATACTTACAAACTTTGGATGCTTAAAAAAAACCTGGATGTTTGAAAAACTAAGAACATCTCAAACACAATAACGAAACTCATCCATTAAAACCTTGCTCAGAAGGACAAGAAATGGAGACTCGCTTTCCACAAGAACCCAAATGATTTTGCTATCTTCCTTTTTAAAATATGAAACACTTGTACTCTACGTTTTCTGGAAAGATAACACATTTTGAAAATTTGAAAATTAACAGCATTTATTTTGAAACTGAAAAATTCTGTTCTGAATGAAAGTTAGCATCTTTTCCTTCAAGTCCACTCCTTCCTCCTCCTGCATCCCCTCTCTCTGTGAATGGAATCAACGAGGTCAGTCTCTGGAGTGAAAGCTCAACCATATCGCCTCCCATTGCTCTCTCTCACAAGGGCTATCCTTTCCATTCTCACAACTTCCCAGGGCCAAGAGTCATTCTGGACTTCACTCTCTCTCTTATTCCTCGTATCCAATCCGTCAGCAAACCCTTCAAAATATAAGCAGAATTTGACCACTTCTCACCACCACCACTGCCCTCACTATGGTCCAAGCCACCACCATTTCTCACCTGGTCTACTGCACTGGTTTCCTAACTGGGTGCCTTACTCCTGCCCTTGACCTCCAGCTTCAATCTACTCTCAGTAAAGCAGCCTGTGACCATGATTCTCCTCAGCTCAAAACCTCCAATGGTTTCCCAGCTGAGACAAAGCTGACAGCCTTAAAGGCCCTTGCCTTGCACTCCACCCCCCCCTCCCCCGACACCCGCTTCAGTCTCCTTTCCCACTTCTCCTCCCATGAAGTCTCTCACTGCGCTCCAACCAGACGAGCCTCCTTGCCAGGCCCTACTCTTCCCTTGCCATCCTTTACACTTTCTGTTCTCTCCTCCTGGAATGCTTGTCCCCTAGATAATGCAGCGACTATTCATTCCTTCAGGTTTTATTCCAAAAAGTTACCTTCCCAGGAAGGTTTTTTCCAGCCCTTCTTTCTGAAACTTCATGCTTCCCCTGACATTTCAAATCCTTCTTTCCTATTTTATTTCTTCTCCATGGCACATACTATATATTTTATTTATTTACCCAGTTGATTGCCAGTCTCCCCAGTGGAATACAAACTCCATCAGGCAGGGATTTGCCTATTGTGTTCTCTGCTGTATTCCCCACCCTCAGATGAGAGCTTGGTGCATAGTAGGAGCTCAGGGAATTTTGCTGAATGACTGAACTAATAAAGAAATAAACAAATCAACAAAAGAATGACTCCAGCTTGGGCTCTCACCGCGTCTTTCCTGGTCTCCTGATGGCAGTCTCTGTCCTCTGTAATCAATCCCACAGACCTCAAATCAGCAGTTTACCCAACATAGGTCTGATCCTCCTGCTGCTCAGATTAAGAACCTGGGTGGCTATGTGAGGAAAGTACAATTCCACAGAATGGCATCAAGATCCTTCATAATCTGGATACCCTTTCCTAAATTCATCTTTTTATATCCCATTCTTTTTTAAAAATTTTTTTAAAAATTTAAAAATTTTTTTTAAAGATTGGCACCTGAGCTATATCTGTTGCCAATATCTTTTTTTTCCCCTTCTTCTTCTCCCCAAAGCCCCCCCACCCTCGGTACACAGTTGTATTTTGTAGTTGTGAGTGCCTCTGGTGTAGCTGTGAGTGCTATGTGTGATACCGCCTCAGCATGGCCTGATGAGCGGTGCCATGTCCGCGCCCAGGATCCGAACCAGCAAAACCCCGGGCCGCCGAAGCAGAGTGTGCGAACTTAACCACTTAGCCACTCAGCCACGGGCCAGCCCCTATATCCCATTCTTACACTTCATTCTGTAGACCAGCGTCTCCCAAACTTGAGTGATTTATGGGTCCTTTTTAAAAGAAAAAATTTCTCAAAGGCTTTCAAGGTCACATGCAAGGAACTCCAGTTTGAGAAACACTAATTTAAGAGATTGACATTCTGGTCAACAGAAATGTCTTTTAATTACAGATTGTTACTGGTAAAATAATTTTTGATATTACAACCACAAGGGAAACAAAATGTAAACATCTTCAGATACCTTGCACCCCCTGAGAATAAATGCATGGACCCCAGCTGCAGAAATGCTGCTGTACACGAATGAAACGACCTAGCCATCCCCGAAGGGGCCTATGCTTACTTGCCTCCATGCCTTCATCCCTGCTGGTCCTCCACCCTGGAATATCCTTCCCCTAACTAAACTTACCAAAACCCTACTCATCTCGCAATGCCTAGTTTACTTATCACCTCCTTCACGAACTCTTCATTTTGATACCCTCAGCCGAAACTTCTCTCAGTCTCTCAGGGCAATTTTATCTCTCTCTATGGCATTGCCTACATGATTCTTCCTCATGCTATACTATTATTTTCCCACAGTTATTATACTATTATCTTCCCCTGGTTATTATAGCTCCTGGACAGCATGAAGATTAACTTGTTTTCTTTTTATTTACACAACAATTAGCACAGTATCGTCCATATGACAACAAATAAATGGCCACTGAATTAATCATCATGTAGGAAAAAAACACTACTATAAATATGACCCTCTTCTGATCCTATTAAAAATGGAATTGTTTACTAAAAGCTTATAACCAAACAAATATAATATTCTCATAACAAAAGACAAAATGTGGGAAAATATTAAGTTATTTATAGGATTTACCTTCTTTTAAGCATTAAGTCTGCTATAGGTATGCATCTTAGACCAGTTCCCAAAACCATAAGGAAGGATGTCAGAAGCACAGTTATCCGAAGACCTAAAAGGAAACAAAAACATCTGGATTATTTTCTATTTTCTCTTTAAGTAAGTCCACTGTTAAGAACAAAGATTTTTTTACTCAATCAGACTTATGTTACATTCTAGCTTTTCTCTATAACTCCCAACATGGAAAAGAACCCTCTACATGCCTAAAATGAAATGATTCTAACTTTAATAGAAAACTCCATTAGCTCTGTTTTTTCAAAATGAATGGCTAGAATGTTTTGTTCACCTATGACACAAAAAAATACAGAAAAATAATTTTATTGTATGTTTTTAAAGATTGGCCCCGAGCTAATATCTGTTGTCATCTTCCTTTTTTTCCTTCTACCCAAAGCCCCCCAGTACATAGTTGTATATCCTAGTTGTAGGTGCTTCTAGTTCTGCTATGTGGGACACTGCCTCAGCATGGCCTGATGAGTGGTGCTAGGTCCATGCCCAGGAACTGAAGGAGTGAAACCTGGGGCCACCAAAGCAGAGCGCGTGAACATAACCACTTGGCCACAGGGCTAGCCCCCTAGAAAATAATTTTAAAGGACTGGGTATTTTAGTTTTATATCTCCAATATAAAATTTCGAATTTTTAAATGTAAGCTGCAAAAACTCTGAAACTCTTCAAAAACTGGCCCCAAAAAGTTTTTTAAGGTGATAGATTATTGCTTTAAATTTTCTCAAAAAATGACAATTGGCCAGTTACATATTTTATCTTATAATCAGGAGGACGAGCTAACGCTTGTTATAGGGTCATAGGAAGTGGTCCTTTAGAACCTTTTGATTATTAATACAATGATGGTCAATTATTTTGAAAACGTGTGCCAATGGTTGGTCACATGGATAACAGGGTAAAAGAGAATATAAAAACAAAGTAACCAAAACCAGGCACAATATTCTAGCTATGGCAGAATAATATAATGGATCTGTATCTTCCTACTATTGCAATGCTGCACTTATGTTACCACTAAACTAATACTGCCTTACTGTTTGCGGCAGCCACATCACACAGGTGGCTCATACTGAGTAAGTGGCAAGGTGGCAACATTTCTTCCATTTGCTCCCAAACTCAACACCTCCTTGAGACCACTTCACAGTGAATAGATTTAAACTGTTTAATGCAAAATTTTCTTTTTTTTCAGAACTTTCTTTTTTTGGCAGAGGGGAGATGGTTAAATCCTCGGTTTTCAAAGAGCTTCTCTGCTTGAAGGAAACTGAAAGTCAACAAAACTATAATTATGCAGACTAAACACATCAAGGAAAATAAACTTGAAATCTGGATCAGGCACACACATGCTACATTAAGCATAATTTTGTGATATGAACTGAGTTTACTTTATAATATTCTTATATAATCTGAATATGATTAACACAATTTGGCAGAAGGAATACCAGAGAAAATCATGCTTCTCGGCAACAAGTAATGCATATATACTGCTCATTTACTGCTTCTACTAACAGAATACAGATTTTAAAACCACATTATAGCCACAGGAAATAGAGTGTAATTAATAAAAAGCACATTCATGGTCATAAATATCCTAAACTTGCAAAATGTTGCTCTTATAAGGTTAGACTGGGTGCTGTATGAGATACTGAAGAAAATTTTACAGATTTGGGACTATAAGGCTTCCATTCCATATGATGTTTATTTTTTTCCTAAATATTTGGTTTGTAATTAAGATAAGTAGCCACCAAGTAGGCAGTGGGGCACTGTTTACGGCTATATGGTCCAAACGACCAGGTTCCCTATTGTTACTGCTGAAGCTAGCACACTTTTGTGCTCAATTATGCTGTTTATCAAATAAACAACAATATAACAACTAATATAAATATTTAAGAGTAGAGCAGCTGTGAAAAGCTGATTATTAAAGCAACCTCCCAGAGACAGCTCACGGCTTTGTTGCTTATTTTCAATTATTGCCAACTATTATGTAATCTAATGCTCAATTTTGAATAGAATGTTTTCTTCATCTCATTGATCTTGACAAGGCAGGACTCTATAATTTCATGTAATCAAAAAGATATCAACTGACTTTGGGAAGGAGAGGTATGAAGACCCCAGAAAAATGAGTATATGAGACTTTATGTAAATAAATCCCAGATGATTACAGTACTAGGATGTGAGGGCAAAAACCATCTGATGAAAAAGGTAACAGAACAATTTTGGGAAACAAACATGATGGAAAATAACAATAAATTCTATGCAAATATAGCATCCAGACATTGCAGTAAGCTTCCTTCCAATGCATGAGATACTCTTTTTGCTGGGAACCTATCTGGTATAGGAACAGAGCCTCTAAACAGGTGCCAAAACAATCAGGATGCAAAGTTGGCTGGAGAAAACCAACCACACACACAGCCATAGCAGAAGTACAGGAAATCAGTTATGCCCACAAAGTTGATCTGGTAAGACTGCCCTTTCCAGCCAGGCTCCATACTTCCATCAGCTGCAGAGGTGACAGCTTTGCTTGCTCCTGGCCAAGACCTCCTGTTCCTGCCCCAACAGTCACAGCCCTGCCACCTCCATCTGCTTTGGAGGCTATCAGGCCTAATCACATCATGCCCATTTTTCCTGTTTACAGCAGTCACAAGAGACCCAAATTCACAGGTCACCCTTATCCCAATGAGGTTTCATATATCCCCTAATCTGACCTCATCTCCACCATCTCCCCAACTCCTGAAACCCTTCTCCTGTGCCTTATGGAGTGCTCAGAATCAGTGGATCACCGGAATCAGATTCTCGAGCTCGTCTCTAGACGTTCTCTTCACCTTCTTACTCCCACTGAGAACTCTCCCCTGATGACACTGCTTCCCAGCCACTTCCACATTCCTGTTACTCTCTCCTCCCTAAAACTCCCCAATCTCTTTTCGTTCGATGCTTTTAAGATTTTCTATGGTTTTAAGCGATATGATTATGATGTGCCTTGGTGTAGTTCTCTTCATGCTTCTTCTGCTGGGATTCTTGAATTTCTTAGATTTGTGGGTTTACAGATATCACCAAATTTGGAAATTTTTCTGCCATTACTTCTTCAATACCCTCCCCCCCATCTCCATGCCCTCTACTTCTACCTCTCTCTTCACCTTCTGGGACACTAACTACATGTATATTAGCCCACTTAAAACTGTCCTACACCTCACTGATGCTCACTGGGTTTTTGTTTTAGTCTTTTTTTCTCTTCTTTGTTCCATTTTGGACAGTATTTCTTGCTATGTCTTCAAGTTCACTAATCCTTTCTTCTGAAATGTCTAATCCGATGTTGAATCCTGTCCAGTATATGTACATTTTTTGTCTCCGACATAGATTACATTACATCCATAGAAGTTTAATGCTGGTCTTTTTATGTTTTCTGTGTCTCTCCTTAACATGCTCACACTTCCTTCTATCTTCTTGAACACATGTAGTATATTTACAGTAGCTGTTTTGATGTTCCTGTCTACTAATTTTAACATCTCTGCCATTTCTGGGTCTGATTCTATAGATTGCTTTTTCTCCTCTTTATGGGTTATATTTCCCTGCTTCTTTGCACGCTTGGTAATTACTGAATTGGATGTCAGGCATTCTGAATTTTACTTGTCGGGTAATGGATTTTTTTTCTTTGACCCTCCTTTAAATATTTTTGGATGATGTTCTGGGATACAGCTAAGTTACTTTTGATCTTTTCAAGGCATACTTTTAAGCTTTATTATGTGGAACCAGAGCAGTCTTTAGTCTAGGGCTCTTTTGTCTTTACTATTGAGGCAATGCCCTTCTGAATATTCAACCCAACCTCCAATGTATTCTGAGCTCTTCTATTCTGGCTGTGGGGAATGTGAACTATTCCCAGCCTTCTGTAAACTTTGGGAATTGTTCTGCCGGCTCCGTTTTGGTGGTCCCTTCTCCAGACTTGGCTGGTTTCCTCACAAGTATCTGCTGATCAGTGCTTGGCTGAAGACTCAAGAGAACTCCCTGTAGATCTAGAACTTTCTTTCTCTGAAGCTTTTTTCTCTCTGGTACTCTACCCTAAGAATTCTAGCTAAGTTGGCCTCTTGCAATTCTCAACTGTCTCCTCAACTTAGGAAAACTGTTTGGGCTCCCCATCTCTGCACTGCTGCCGAGAAATTCTCTCCAGGCAGTAAGCTGAAGCAATCTCCAGGATCACTGTCCTGCTCTGCCTGTTGTCCAATGTGTGAAAACACTGTTTCATATACTTTTATTTTGTTTTGCTTTTAGTTGTTTAAGATGGGAGGATAAATCCAGCTCCTGTTACCCCATCATGGCCAGAACAGCCTTTGATCTAAATTTATCTGACTATAATACTCACCATTCCTTGCTGCAATTGTCTATAGACCACCACATACCTGCCTCCAAGTCATTCACCCTCACTTGCTTGCAAATGTCTTGGCTCATTATTACTCATTAGCATGCTACTTCTTTCATAAATCTGGTGATTTCAATATCCACTAGATGATCCTTTCAACATCCCGACCTCTTGGCCCTGTGACTTCTTATTCCATGATCACGTCCTCTACCCTACCTCAGGAGTCTGTTATCTTGGTTATACTCTGACCTTATCTTTACTAGAATGGCATCCATGACATAATCTCAATTTCAAGCATCCCATTCTTCAACTATGACCTCCTCTCTTTCCCATTCATTTCCTCTACTACTCTAAATTCTTGATCCAATTGGGAATGACAATTTTGGAGCCTTCTACTTTCTCTCATCCACCTCAAGTATTTCCTTTCTCCTTTACACAGTTTAGATTCCACAGTCCATTGCTGTATCACTCTCCACATAATCCTCTACTCTTGGCCTACACTTTCTTAGTCCTACGCACCTAGCAAACTGCAACTTTGGTTAAATCTTGCTCTGCCAACTCTGCCCGTGCCTGCACTTGCCCAACAGCACAGGGTGAAGGAAAACACACAACCATGGCAACTGGTCTCACTTGAAATTAATACCCAATCACCTAAAGCAGGCCCTTAGTACTGCCCAACAATCCTACTATATAATTTCCTAGTCCATGTGTTCTCCACTTTCCCAGGAAATAGTTTCATAACTTATCCTCTCTCTTCAATCCTCCAAAAACTGCTCTCCTATCTTCACTCATCACTAACTTCTCTTCTTATTTTCTAAGAACTATAAGCAAAGATAATTTCTACAAGCTCCTACCACCCACCATCTGCATCTGCATCTATTCATCCTATCTTCTCTTCAGTTAGAGGGGAGAAACAAAGGGAAGAAATCACTCCACCACTATGCTGACGTCCCTCCCCTCTTCTCTTCAGTTGCTAGTGAAGAATTAGCTATCTTCTATCCGAGGCCAACCTGTTTACTTGTGCTCGGAGGACCGCATTCCATCTTGCTTACTCAAGGCCATGGCTACAGCAGCTCTTCCCTCTCCCTCCAGCATCGTCAATTTCCCCCTTTCTATTGGACCCATTAGGATACTGCATTAGAGAGATATATTTAATAACTCTTATGTTTAAAGATACCTTGGCAGTAGCCACATTCCCTCCAGCTACTGTCCCATTTCTCTCCTGCCCTTTACAGTGTAACTGCTTGACATAAATGTCTACTCATTGTCTCCAATTCCACACCTTGCATTTTATTTTGAATTCATTCCTACCACTTGAGTGAGACTATTTTAAAGGACACCAAAAATCTCCATGTTGCTAACTCCCAGGCTCTATTCCAGTCCTCAATAGCAGGTTCTTCCTTATCTTCCCAACCTCTAAACGTCCGAAGGCCTCAGGGCTCAGTCCTCCACAGAAGCAACACCCTTCTCCAAAAGCGATCTCACTTGGCCCTGAGACTCTAAATACCATTACAGGTTGACAAACCCCAAATTTATTGCTCAAGCCTCTCCTGTGAACGCCATATTTGTAATCCAGCCGACAGTTTAACATGTCTACTTGCTGCTTCCACAATCTTCTACCTCTGAGTAAAGTGCAGCTTGATTCTCCCAACTACTAATGCCAAAGAGTTGAGAGATATCTTAGACTCCTCCTTTCTTCACGCCCCACCTCTGACCCATCAACAATCACTGGTGAGTCTACTTTCAACACGTATCTGGAGTCTAACCGCTTCTCAGATCCTCCATTCCCAATACCCTGGTTGGAAGTCACCATTAGCCCCATCTGGATTATTCTGCCTGCCTCCTAACTGGTCTCCCTGCTCTGGCCCTTGTTCTCAAGACAACAGCAGAATCATCATTTTACTCTTCTGCTCAAAGCCGTCCAGTGGAGTCAGGCCCCCTCACTCCTTAATGGCCAACGTGTTAACAGTGGCCCACGAGGCCCTGCATGATTCAGCCTCCCACAACGTCTGTGACCTCATCTCCTACCACTATTTCCCTCATGGCTCACCTCTGGCTGCAGAGGCCCCACTGCTCTTTCTTGCATATGCCAAACAAAAGTTCAGGACCTTTGTCTTTTTGACCCAAACAGTCTTGTCCAGAATTGACAAGTCAGGCTTCCTTTTTCCCTCAGGTCTCTGCTCAAACATACCTTATCAGTAAGGCCTTCCCTGATACTCTATATAAAGCAGAATACCACGCAATCACATTCCTTTTTTCCCTTGCTCTGCTTTATTTTTCTCCAAAGCGTTTATCACCATCTGACTTACTAAATATTTAATTTTATTGTCTGTTGCCTGGATCTCCTCTGAGAGACCAGAATGTAGGCTCTGGGAAGGCTATCTCCCCAGTGCTTGGCACACATTTACATGCTAGCTCCTCCTTGAAACTTTCTTCACTTGGCTTCTCAGAGCACACTTGCTCTTGGCTCCCCTATTATGTCACTAGCTAGTCATTTTTTGTCTCCTTGCTGGAAAAGGAAAAGGGGTGAGAGAGTATGAAATCTATTTTAGCAAGATAATTGGTCTTCTATGCTAAGCTGGCTGGGACTCACAGCAGCAAGAAAGCCAGACTACTCTCTGCCCTCTAGGGAGCAAGATATGCTAGCATCCTGGACGCTGGGAATTTACTTTCTATGCACACAGATAGGACACCTGCAGCAGCAGCCAACAGATGAGTGTATTAGCTTTCTCCTACTGAAAAGGAAAAGCACTTTCTTAAAAGAGAATTTTTAAATTTATTTTTTATTGCTTCAACCCACAGAAAATAGAAAATTGAATTCACCATATAGTTACAGGAACTATGAAAGAACTCCTGAAGTAACTTATCTTGCAAAGCAAATAAGTAACCCCTAATTTATCTGGCCATAGATAAAAGATACGATTACAATAAAAAGGGTAAAAAATTAATCTTTTTATGCCATAAAAACAAGGTTAGTTAAATTTAGGGAGTAATATTGAAAAATGCTCCTGATAAAAAGATGATAAATAAACTATAAAATAGCATTTTCCCCTAAATTTAGCCAACCTTGTAAGAATGACATAGGAATTGACACAGATTGAAGATTAAGGAGAAATCAGAATTAAATGCCATTTGGACCCTAGACTGAATCCTGGAAGAGGAAAAAAAGATACTGGTGGAAAAACTGGTGAAATCCAAATAAAGTCTCTGACTTAGTTTAAAAGCAAACAAAAAAAAATCTAAACAAAGAAAACCTCCACTCAGTACAAGAAACTCTTCCTCAGCATCTAGCACACATCCTCTGCATAAGTACTTACTCTACCTGGAAGCTTGACACTGGTCAAGACACACCTTCCAGAGCTGGACACCTTTCATTGTTAGAAATACTTCCTCGTCCCGCTTTGAGTTAGAGCCCTTTGTAACTTCACTCCATTTAGTTCTTCCTTCTAGAACTACACACACTAAGTCCAATTCTTCTTTCGCTTGATCTTCACATATTTTATATTCCGCCTTAAGTTTCTTTTTGCAGCTTGACACACCCAGTTCCCTTCATCTTACACATTATGATTTTTACATCCTTTATCGTTCTTGTTACACAACTTTTAAAGTACGCAAGCTTGTCAATGGCCTTAACGCTCAGAACTGAACACTAGAGTAGAGCATAGCCAACTATTTCTCTTCTTGTTGTGGACACTATTGTGCCTAAAACAGTCCTTCCTGTTCTTAGCAGCTACATCATATTGATCACGAATTCTTTACTCAAACTTGTGTGGTCTAATTCAATGCCTTATCATTCAGTCCTAGGACCTTTTTTCTTCTCCTCACAGAATCACACTGGCAAGTGGTAAAGTCAGACATCTGGCCAGAGTATTCCTCTGCGAAGTCTTCATTCATCTGCCAAGCTTTATCTGAGAGTCATAAATCTCAACCGATACAGCCACCAAGTCACACATACACACTTGAAAGCTGCTGTTAACCATTTTCCAGAAACCAAAGCGTCAGATCTGAGTTTCCCAACAGCTCTTCCTGGGCTGGAGTCATCTATTATGCAAGGCCAACTCATTACTTCCTTATATCTAGGCATCATCAGTCTATTTTCTGACCTTTCATCCTCAACATCCCCAAATCCCTTTGAAGTCAAAGCATCAGTCATTTTTGTCAGATGTAAAAAACATACATGGCACGTGCACAGGGATGCTCTCTGATGTCCACAACATGCAAAAACTTGAACACTTGGAGATCGCTTAATCCCTGCTGTTGCATAATGGGCTTTGACATAAACAAACAAGTATCTGCAAAGAAGCCTTCCCATATTCATCGCTTTAAGGACGGAGGGTTTCTATTCAGGAATGGGATGCCAGCAACACTCGGTCACCTCACACAATCCCAAAGACGAAGGCGAGGGAGGCGGCCCGCGGGCCTGGACACCGGGCAGACTCCGTTCCCCCAGGAGCGACAGCGCTGGCCGGCGCTCCCCGGACCCCCTCACCTCTCTTGTCCAGGAGCCACATGAACGCGAAGCAGGGCAGGAAGCCGATGGGCCCCCACAGCACGAGGAGCGCGATGTCCCAGCTGGAGAAGCCGTAGGCCTGGCGCGCCGAGTTCTGGATGGGGCCCCAGGTGTTCCAGACCAGGCCCTGCGCGAAACCCAGCAGCGAGAAGAGCAGCAGCACAAGCCAGCGGCGCCCGTACACCCGCCCGGGACCCGGGGCCGCCGCGGGCAGCGCCGCCGCCGCCGCCTCCCGGCTTCTCCAGGCAGCCGCCGGCGCAGGCCCGAGCGCGGGCCCCAGCAGCGGCTGCCGCTCCTCCTCGCTGCTCCAGCCCGAGCCCATGCCGACGCGCGACCCGCGGGGCCACTGCCCGGCGCGGTCCGGCCGGCCGCGGACCAGCCCCGCGCGTAAGCGGCCGGAAGAGGCGGGGGCCGAGGCTGCTTGGGTCGCCTTCGGCCTCCTGGCCGCGCCTGGTGCGCCTGCGCCGTGCGAGCCGGTCCCAGGTGGGGAGGCGGGGCTGGGACGGCCGGCTGTCAGGAAAGAGACCAGAGAGGGAGTGGACTCGGGTCCTGGAGAGAGGACGGAGAGGATCTGAAAAGGCAGGGAGGACCGCGGCTGAGCCCGGGGCACGGGAATCTCCCAGAGAGGGCTGTGTTAGAGGAGGTTGGGCAAGGAACACGGGGTTGCTGGAGGAAGTGCCCAAGTTTACATCATGTGCCTAATAAACAAGTCGGAGACCTCCGGTCGCTTAAGCTAGTTAATGCTTGCTTCTATATTGGGTTTATTCTTATTTTTCTTGGATTTATAACTTGAGAAATTATAGGGGGAGATAGGATAAAATTGAGGAGTAGTAGGGACTAGAAGATTGCTGCATGAAAATAATGTCTTGTTTTTTACGTACAGCAAGAAATGCCTAGTTTTATCAGCTTTCTTTTTGTGTCGTACATACCCAATGAGGAGATAATAAAGTAGCCAATTTAATTCATCTGTATATACATGGATAAAGATATAGATATCTTCCTATCCATTTTCTTGTCGCTTAATAGACGAGCAAACAAAGATATGTTGATTAAGGCTGGAAGATTTCTGCCCCCAAACGACCTCAATTCGTCTCCAGTTATTATGATTTTGATCAAAGAGTAAATGAGGAGAAGGGTGAGGGTTGTTGATCTCTTGCTCAAGCAGCCGATTGTTTATTTGGTATACAAATCCAGAAGCCTGACAGGTGTCGGTTAGTGTCCTTGAAAACCTAAGTCAAGCGATTTGGCTTGTCTAGGTCGGGAAATGAGTCACGGGGAACGCAATTAAAAGACATTTGCCTGAGGTTCGTATTCTCCGGCAGCCAAGAAAACCAGATGGAGTCATGTTGCTGCCAGAAGGGCAAGGGAGGTGGAAGAGAAACGTGAGCTCTCCTGGCATCCAAGGCTGGTTAAGAGCGGCTGCAGAGCAAGCGAACGCAGAGCCACATTCCACTGTCCCGAGCCCCACAAAAAAAGCAAACCGTCCCCTAAAACTCCAGTACGGTTGGGTGGCAAAGAGCGTCAAGGTGGAAAGGAAGGGCCTGACTGGAAAACGAGGAGAAGCAGAAATGAAGCCAAGAAAAGACTACAGTGAAAGGAAGGCTAAGCTCTGGGGAAGGTAACAGGCGCCACAGCCTACACCACGTGCTTCCGTTTCAACAACAGGGAAATCAAAACAAATCTGCGGGGCCCCGCCCAGCCCGTCACGTGACTCCACGTGAGCGGCGCTTCCCTGGGACCCCGGAGAAGTCCTTCCGGTGGTGCTGCCTCAGAACGCGGTTTTGGCACTCGTCGTGTCCCACTCCCACTCCACTTTTGGGTCCGGGCGGAGCCCTTGTTGTGCTAGCCATGGCTGCAGGCCCGGGGGCGACCTCCGATACGGGCCCTGCAGCTGGAGCTGGCGAGGAGGCAGGTAGGTGCCAGGCTGAGGTCTGACCGTGACTACATCCCTGTGCCGACTGGCTCTTTGGGCATCCCTCATGTGGCTTTGCGGACCTGCCTTAAGCTATAAGGAAAATGATTTGTTTTCTAGTGAACGTGTCTTTTCTCAAATTGTGGCATCCATATTTTTGATCGTCGTTCCGGGCCCCATATCCCCTCCTCCTGCCAGTTCTGTTTCACGCAGGAGGATGTTTTGAATGTTACAGTGGCTTAAAATTAAGTTTGTGAAATTGGAGCTCACCCTTGGGGTAATTAGAGATATCCGGGACTTTTGTAAACAGCGATTACGAGCTTTTGTTTGGTTGCGGTGGAATCCTGCTGTAGAGAACGGGTAAGGTTTGGAGACCCTTGAGCCTGGGATCCCCCTTGGCATTTATTGAATGATTGCTCCGTGCCTGGCACTGTTCTGTATACTGCCGCGGGATCCAGAGATTTTTGGATGTTTATAACATTGCCTTTTCCCAATTGAGTAAAGGGGCTTAGCAAGGAAAAAAGTATGACCAATGTGTCTCACGTGAATACTAACAGTACACAGTGGGTGAAGGCTGTCACCTAGAGGAGCGCGCCCAGTGGGGAAAACATAGATGCTTCTAGGAGGGACTAGTTGGAGGTCGGCCTTTATGATTGGCTGAGATAGTGACAAACTCAGGTGGTGGCTCTGGGGGGTCATGGGAAGACAGGGAGCAGAAAAGCACTGGATAGATGTGGTTGGAGATAAAATAGTCATGTTTGCCTAGAGCCGGAGATGACCATTCCAAGCAAAAGAAACTAATTATAACTTCCTACTGACAAAAGTCACTTGGTTCTGTACCCCAGGGTACATGAACTTCATCTGTATCTCCAATCCATTAATCCTTCCGTTTCTGTCTATCTGTACCCCCTTACCCAGTTTAGAGTGTGTGTCAGTTTATCATTATAATCTCTCCTTTGACAATGCGCTATTCTCTTGTCCCTCTCTGCCTTTTATTTTTCTGGCAGAACCCTTCCTCTGGCTGAACCCAACCTTTACCCTCTTTGCACCTGCACCTGTATGGTTGAACTTTGCTCGAAAAAGTCTGGACAAATTGGTGACACTAAATTGAAAATGGCCAACCTCTTGAATATTCTCTCAGCATGATCCTATTTCTCTGATAAGCCTACTTTCTTTCTCCAGTGACAGTTCCTCAGACTCTCTCTCTCCATCTCTCACTTTCAGCTGATGACTTTGCAAGTCAGGTCAATTCTGCATCTAATCTGTCCACTTTTTTCCTCCTTCACTGTCAGACCCTTGTCCACAATGTCCATATTTCTCATCTAAACCACTCCTGTATCTTCAGGCCGTGTGTTCTTGTTTCCTGTCTTATGTCCCCCCAATCCCTTCTCCATTCAGCAAGAAAAAGTGACACTCCCTTACTTGAAATTCTTCAGTGAATTCCATTGCACCCAGAATTTAGAAACTCCTGACCATGGCCTACAAAAGTCCTTGGTCTGAGCTCTGCTGTTGTCTCCAAGAGCATCTCTTGCCATTCATCCCCCTCCTCCTCCCACCTACTTTCTCATATCTGGCTTGTTAATCTTCAGGTTTCGTAGTATATCACCACCTGAGACCTTACTAAACCAACCCATTGAAAACAGTTGTGGTTTTCCGCTGCATCCTAACCCTAGATGTTGTGTAGTGCTGCATCCTGCTTCCTTCCTTTCACTTATCACGTTCTGTATTTACTTGTTTATTATTTGTTTCTTCCATTAGACCTTATGCACCTTGAGGGCAGGACCTATGTCTGATTTATTTCCCTCATGTGCCCAAGCAGCAAGTACCATGCCGGTGTATAGTGGGCACTTAATACATATTTGTTGAGTGAGTGAATAGGGGAACCCTGTACTAAGTCCAGAGGCAAGAGGAGAAAGAGCATGGCATGGTCCAGGAACTGACAGAAATTGAAATGAGAAGTGGGATCCTGCAAGGCACCTTGTACCAAGTTAAGGAATCTGGACTGTAAGACAGTGGGAAGCCTTTGAAGAGTTTCAGGTTGGGGAGTATCTTGGTCAGATTTGGTTTTAGGAAGATCACTCTGTGAAGGGTGGAGGGTACGTTGGAGGGAGAAAGACTGAAGAGCAAGGTACTTAATCCCCCTTAGCCTCAGTTTCCTCCTCTGTAAAACACAGATTTTTGTGAAAATTAAAGATAATTGTGGATTATCTAGTATAATGTCTAGCAGGAATTAGATATTCAAGAAAGGTAATTATTTTTATTAATAGAAAGTGCTGGCATTGGTGACTGACTGATGTTGAACCTGAGAGAAAAGAATTTCCCAGTGTGAGAAATTAGGAACCTTAAGAAAAGGAGGTGGTTGGGAACACTGTTGTTTTAGTGTGAATGCGTAGAGTTTAGGTATGGAAAGATGATGCAAAAGAGATGTCAAGCATGCAGCTGGGGAAGAGGAGGTTTTTTATATATATATACATATATATATATGTATATATATATACATATATATACACACATGTGATTCACATACCATAAATTCGCCCGTTTAAAGTATACGAATCAGTGGCTTTTAGTATGGTCACAAAGTTATGCAGCCATCATTTCTATAATTCCAGTTCATTTTCCTCACACTGGAAAGAAACCTGGTACCCACTAGTAATCACTCCCCATTAGCCCTTCCCCCCAGTCCCTGGCAATCACTATCTACATTCTGTTTCTGTGGACATGCCCATTCTGGACATTTCTTATAAACGGAATCATACAATATATGGCCTTTTTTGTCTGGCTTCTTTCACATAGCATAATATATCTATGTTGTAGCATGTGTCAATCCTTCATTCCTTTTTATGGCTGAATAATATTCCATGGTGTGGATATACCACATTTTGTTTATCTGTTCATCAGTTGATGAGCATTTGTGTTGTTTCTACTTTTTGGCTACAACGAATAATGCTACTATGAACATTCATATATAAGTTGTTGTATTAACGTATGTTTTCAGTTGGCATATATCTAAGAGTGGAATTGCTGGGTCATATGATAATTCCATATTTAACTTTTTGAAGAACTGGTGATTCTTAATCTTGATGTCCTAAGGAGGGAAAAAGTCTGATGAAACTATGGATTTGCTCCCCTGAAAAATGCAGCATGCACACACAAATATTTGCAAGTGACTTTAAATTTTTGTATTAAAGGGTTCTCTGAATTCCATCTGTGGAACATTCAACCCTATTTTAAACTTTCATCCTCCCCAGAAACACCACTTTGGAGTGACTGCTTATAAGCATTACAGAGTAAGTTAAGTGGGCAAAATCCTACTGGAAGAGAAGGCTTTGCTTTAAATTAGGTAAGGGTTATGTGAACAAAGGTACATAGACTAGATAAATGCATGTGAAAGGGTCAGGGTGATGAATAATATTGTGGGAGTCATAGAAAAGTTGATTTTTGAGCAAACTTATTACCGTTCCATTATCAAAAAATATTTGAATGTACACTGTAAACAGGAGACCCTCTCATACAGTGAAGTAGAAGATAGTCTTTGCCCTAAAATAGCTTATAAACTATAGCTTAGAGTTTTGGGGAGAAGACATAAAAAGAGTTGTCGTATAAGATAGATCCACAAGGCAGGAGGCAATTAGATGGGATGCAAATATTACACACATTAAGTGCTTTGTGGGCTGAGATGAGAAAGCATGAATACAAATTGAGTTGGTCTGTGCTTCCTAGAGTAATTTGAATGCATAGAGTTCAGTATAGTTCGCCTATGGAATTGATGGAAGAGGCCATTTGTGGTGATGGGAAGCCGGGTTGTGGAAGTGAGTGGAGAAAAGCCCAAGGCACAGAGGGCGGGGAGGGAGGTGAGGAGACAGACTGGTTCTGCTAGAGTGGAAGCAGTGGCCGAGAACGCTGGTGCAAAGGAGGAAGAGTGTATCCTTTGAGACCAAAGAAGAACAGGGTGAACCAGAAATGTTGAAGTGAAAAAGAGGGAAATCATGGGTTTCAGATTTCTCAGAAAAACAGAGCAAGGCACCACACAGAGTGAGGAAGTGGAGAGGGGTACTGGGGGTTTGAGAGAGGAAGCTTTGGCGTGGTTGCTGTACGCGCGAGAGGGATTAGGAGTCAATTAGTGATAAATAGTGATGGGGAGCAGGAAAGGGAGCTGGTGGAGGTGAGCGTGAAATTGTGGAACTGGTCCCGATCTTTTGAGTCTGTTTCTGATTCTATTCAACATCGCATTATACAAAAGTGGAGAAAACAGATGGTTAGTTTTTTTTTTTTTTTTAAAGATTTTATTTTTTCCTTTTTCTCCCCAAAGCCCCCCGGTACATAGTTGTGTATTCTTCGTTGTGGGTTCTTCTAGTTGTGGCATGTGGGACGCTGCCTCAGCGTGGTCTGATGAGCAGTGCCATGTCCGCGCCCAGGATTCGAACTAATGAAACACTGGGCCGCCTGCAGCGGAGCACGCGAACTTAACCATTCGGCCACGGGGCCAGCCCCACAGATGGTTAGTCTTAATAAAATTTAGTATTTTTATTCATCGCTAGAAATGTGGTGTAAATTCAGAAAACATTTATTTATTTAGCATCAGTTTATGCCAAGCACTGTGCTGAGTTCTGGGGACATAAAAGTAACAGGCTTGCCTTCAAGGATGTGATATTTTTTATTTGAGGTAATAGCTTGGAAATTATTAAAAACAAACGTGAGATGAA